ACCTAGGGGTCTTTCGACCTATGCTGAAAATAACAAATGTGTATTAGAAATAATTCAATAAGCTATATAAATTCCATATAAATCGAACTTCGTGACCAAAGTTGGAAGTCCCACTATACTGCTCTATTTACGCTCGCTCGAACGTATCTAGATCGAAAAATAGCGCGAAGAAATGCGACATAGGTCTTACGTTGAGGAGCGCTCGCGCGGTACTGAGCTCAGACGGCCGCTGCATCTTATTTTGTAGTGATTTTGCGTTCACATTTATCGTATTTATTGAAATAATATAATAAATTTATGCTTTAAAATTATAATAACTTTGTTCCTCATGAAATAGTCATTAATCTGGCATAAATTTTGTTAAATAATATTGTTGTGGCTAAGAGAAATTCAAAGTTAACTTCAAGCAATTTTTGATGTTTTTTGGTTTGTAATATAATTGTTTTTCTATATTTAATCAGTACTATTTCAAAATTTCGAGCTACTGTTTACTTTACGACTATATAAGAGATATCATTCTATTTCTTTTATTTCGTTTGTTAAGAACAGTAGCTCAATCCAGGACTTCAAAAAAGTGTCTTTGCGCATTTTATGAAAAACTTTCTCTGGTATTTTGGATTTAATTAAAAAGATGAGCAATATTTCCAAAAAGTTGAGCCACTAATTTCTATACCAAGAGTTATTCTTCACTATTCAATATGTCAAAATTGTTAATTTGTTTTTGTTTCCGAGAAAAATCACGCAGAAATCACAGTTGGCCTGGGGGCCAATTCTACTAAATAAATTTTGTTTAATCGAAAACGGATCGAAACCGAACGAAACTACAGTTGTTAATAGTTTTTCTATTCTTTTAGATGACATACGATAAAATTCCAACTAAAATAGAACTGGAATTGTATCATTATGTGTCACTTTGTAAAATAGGAAAACCATTAAAAACTAGTTTCGTTCGGTTTCGATCCGTTTTCGATTCGATTTAAGCAAAATTTATTTAGTAGAATTGGCCCCCTGTTATCTACAAATACGTATTATTCTATTATCTGACTGACGGACAAAACAGAACGTCTTTTTTATACCCAGTCGTCATCTCTATTATAAATTACAAGGGTATTATGTAATTTATTATCGATATAGCTTGTTTTTTATAAAGCGACAAATGGAATTGGAAAACAAATATCATAATAAAATTGATTAAATTTTGCATATTATTTAATTTGACTTTGAAATCGATTATCCGAATTTTTAGTTATACGGAATACCCCTGTTTTAAATTGATTCCGATAATTGGGATTCTACTGTATAATAAGAAAAGATTTGATGTTTTTCTGCAACTTTTATTTTTTTTTAATTCTTTCACCATAATATACGGGTTTCATCATATGCAGGTGACACAGGCTATAATAATAAACGGGGGCGAAGCGAGGTAAACAGCTAGTTCGATAGAAAGTATAATCGAGTCAAAATTAAGCAAATGTAATGACGAAATCATCTTGTAAATAAAAACGTAACTCGGAGTAACTTTATGTATGACATTTATTTATTTTACATCATCCTTTTACATTTTGTAAAATCCATTAAATTAACATCGACATGACGTTCCTTTTTGACACTGCTAAGCTAATATCTTTTTTCTAAAACATCATTAACATTTCAAAAATTTGATATTCATAGAACAATTATGCAATCACATCTCCGATCAACAGGTACGTCATACCATAGGAAACATTACAGATTGTTGTCAGTCTTCTTTGTCGTAATTAGAGCAAATTGCTGCATAGCAGTATTCTTTTTTTCTTCAAGATAAAAGACTAAACCTATTATTTTTTCATCATGGTTGCCTGGAAGAGATTGCTGCCTAGTCATAAGGTCATCTTAAGTATTGATACTTTCAATTGAGTTTCGGTTTAATGTACTTTTTATAAAAAAAGATATTTTTTTTTATTCCTAGTATTTCTCACGCAACGTATCATCTAACATTTTTTAGCGTTAGTACTATAGATATTTCGCCTTTTTAGGTAATCATTTAATAGCAGTTCGCTAACATATATAATTTTAATATTTTCCTGCTTTTGCGTAAGCTGATTTTGTAATAGTTATTTCCTCTTTGGCGATATTTAACTTCTTTTTAGGCACCACATTAAAAAATAAATGTCATTTCATTCAGATATTGTCATAAATTGTTTACATTCCATAGTTAGACTTCAGTTTCAGTTTTGAACTCGAAAAACAAAAGAAAGTTGACTCGTGTATTGAATAAAAATGCTTATTTATTTATTAATATTATTCACTATTAATAAATAAATAAGCATTAAATAAGCATTAAATTAATTTGCCTATAACTGTATATTCTATAAATTAAATAAAAAGTTAAAATAAATTAAAAGAGAAAACAAACACATTTAATTGACTGTTTATATTAAAACATAATAAACGTCATTCCCGAACAAGTACAAGTAATAAGTAGTCATGGAAAAAATAGTTAAACAGAAAAGAAAATTTCTTGGTAAACAAAAAGTATTTAGTGATTAACAACATGGTTTCTGTCCACATAGATCGACGGTGTCAAACCTACTGTCATCTTTATCGTCGTGGGTTAATAGTGAGAACGTTCAGGAGCCTGTTAACATTTTATATCTTGATTGTGAAAAGGCATTTGATAAAGTCTCTTTTGGTAGACTTTTGCAAAAACTCGAGTTTATTGGCAAACGAGGAAAATTATTAAACTGGATAGGGGAACTTCGAGACAGCGTACATTTCGGGTAAAGATTGGCGATGTCTTTTCGAATGAGAAAGAAATACGAAGTGCAGTGCCCCAGGGGTCCGTACTTGGGCCGGTATTGTACATTCTGTACACATTTAACCTACCTAAATCCCTGAACTGTTAGCATATTCGCAGACGATACAAAGATTTTTGCAAATTCACTATGATCTGCTCCAAGCGGACGTAGCTCGGATAGTAAAATGGTCAAGGGAGTGGCTTGTCAAACTTAAGATATAGATAAATGCACTATTCTACACATAGGTAGTCAAAATCCTCATTACACTTATGATGTTGAGTGCATAACACTGAAAATCTTAAATGGGAACATCATATCTCTGCTATTACAAAAAGGGCCAGCAGTTTCATATACCTTATCAGGAAAGCGTTTGGTAATATGACACCAGAAATGGTAGTTAAGATTTATAAAACTTATGTTAAGCCTATTTTGAAGTACGCCTTTCAAATCTGGAGCCCTTATTTCAAAAAAGATATAGAAATGTTGGAAAAAATTCAACGCAGGTTTACCAAACTCCCTAAAACACTTAAGAATAAAACTTATGATGAAAGGTCGAAAGCTCTAAAACTCACCACATTAAAAGAACGTAGAGAACATGGAGACTTGATAGAAGAATATAAAGTATATAGCATGGACATTAAGACATCATAAATTTCGATATTCCCATAACACACCCTTGAGAAATAAAGATTCTCAAAAACAAAAATTTCGGAATTCTGGCACTGCTAGGGATTGGCATGTTGGGTATGAAAAAAATATTTTTATAGTCTATTAAATTATTATTAGAAACAAAACTTGAGATAACATTAAAACATAATGTGATCTATTGCTGCGAAATATGGAATACCAAAAAAAGGCCATTAACATCAAAAATCTTTACAACTCAGTAATTCTTATTTCATTAAATATTATGTCTAATTATTTATGAATACAGATTATGTATAAGATAAGAATCATTTGTAAAGAGAGAAATAATTTTTGAACAAACTAAATTAAGTACCACAAAATAATTGAAATCAACATAAATCAATAAATTAACATCAGTTTATTATAAAACAAGGACTACAATGAGAACTTGGTTTATACCATTGCAAATTGAAAATTACTGAAGAGAGAATATAAAATTAATAATTTAAAAATGATTGTTAAGTTGACTTCTTTTGGTACTATACTAGTCTTCATTTTATAAATTATATTATCTTTTTTATTATATTATTAAATCAAAAGACATTAACTTATAGACATCTAAATATTTTTAATGCAATCTAGGGCCTACTATTTAAGTTGATTACAAATCAATTATTATCTCTTTTTAAAATACCTTTTTTCAGTATCAATACCTATCAGTATTTAGTTACTACCATAAATAAAAATTTCAATTTAATCTAATACAAAACTAAAAATGAATACTTACATCCTGCTAATTTAAAATAAGAACAAGAAATGAGACAATAACATGAAGATGTATTTCAATAAACAATAAACAATAAACAAAGCTCATCATTAATTTTAGATAAATATTATTGATTGTTAAGCTGTTCAGATAATGTATTTCATTGTCCCTCGATTACAAGCATCTTTATGTTCAATAATTTTGAAATTAGATATGTTTTCTAGTTATATGAATTATGTACCTAAATACCATTTAAATATTCATTTGTTTTGACAATTATACTAAAGGTACAATAATATAATAATATGAACACATTACAGACAAGTAAATTACAGGAAATTTTAGGCTATGAGAAAATGTACACAAGAGTTGGCCTTATTGCTAAACAACTATAATTTCCAGGCAACCAGTTTAAATTATTTATATTAAAAGTATATCTAGATTTTAAGAACATTCAAATGAAAATGTTTTTTATGATCAAAAATACAATGTAATTAAATATTTTTTTTATTTATTTAACTGATTACTTCTTATCTTGACTGAAATCTCTTCATTTAAGAAAAAAATATTGAATGTCATGCTTTTGGATTTAGATTAATTATTAAGAAGTTTTTTTATTTGATTACATAATTAAATTAAATAATTTTTAATTGCTCAAGAATTTCCAACTTGTATTTACTGTTTTTTATTGCTATAAATAATTGTTTTAAATGATTCTTTCCTTTTCCATTACATTTTTTTTATATATAAGTTGATTGGATTCTTATTAGTGTCTTATGGGTTTAGGTAAATGTGCGATCTTATAATAGAAAATAATATAAGATACATACTTTTTGAAAGTGCCTTGTAACTGCATATTAATAGGTGTTGAAGTGCCCAACAAAGGACTGGGTTTCTCCACAGTTATAAAAGGTCCACCGTAAATGAAGTCGGGATTTGTTTTAAATTCATCATCGTCTTCACCACCTTTTCCTTGAGATACAATGCTTACTGATTTTGATGGAATAGACGGAGGCGATTTCACACTTGCCTTACTCATTTTTTTTTACTTATGAATTCTTATGAATTTAATGAAACGGAAATTTTGTAAACATTGGATCTAAAGAAAAGTGTACCTGAGTTTTTTAAATTGACATGACATTGAAGTAACATTAAACGGTGACAGTAGCTTTAATATTCACGAAGACTGTTTGCTTATCGAAATTAAGACAATTTTTTTTTTGTAGAAATGCTTTTATTGCATCTTTAAAATTCATTGCCTTTTAAAAACACACGTGCCTACTTAAACAAAGAATCAGTTAGTATAATCAATACATATGAGATGTCCTAATATCTTTTCGATTGTTTTAAACTCATATGTTTTTGTCATACGAAAGAGATTTTGTAAACATCCGACTAAAAAATTGCAAAGCCTCATTGATGTTATTGAGAATGATGAATTTTTAAATAATTACTATTAATTTATGCATTCACTTTAAATCATGCTCGCTTATTTTATTTATTTTAGTGCACAGCAAACCCACTTACAGTCCATAAACACCACACATAGGTATATTAATTGGCGTCAGTAGACGCATAACCGGCAAGTTTTCAGTATCGATTGTCCAACCAGAAGTTTTCATTATTTGGTATGCAAATATAACAATAACAACAATATAAAACACACAAAAACAATCGTATTCACACAGACCGACAAAAGAAAGAAACTGAAACTACGTTCAAGAGGTGACCATGAATTTGTCTATTATTAGACATTTTTGCTCTCATTCCCTTTTACACATGATTTTGAACATTCCGATCCTGCCAATATATTCTATATCCTATTAATATTATAAAGGCGAAAGTTTGTAAGTATGGATGTATGGATGTTTGTTACTCTTTCACGAAAAAACTACTGGACGGATTTGGATAAAACTTTACAGCAATATAGGTTATACATCAGAATAACACATAGGGTACTTTTTACTGGGAAAACTTCTCACTCCCACGGGATACCGACTTCCACGCGGACGAAGTCGCGGGCGTCCACTAGTTAGATAATAAAAAAGATAATCTAGTGATATTATGTAGTGGTAAAGATACCCGCCAAGATGAGAAAATTATTATTTCTTTGCTTAAAAACATTCTGGACCATTCAAACGCCATCTATCAACGCCACCTTAAACTACGTAAACCAGACTGTCAGTGAGTCGCAAAGGCCAGGCTAGCAGCGCCACCTACTTCGATTTTGAATTGAAATGAAATCGTCTGTCTGTCTGGCTCTGGCGCTATGGGGCTATCCATTAATCATGTGAGGCTTGAAAGGGGGGGGGGGGGGAGGGGTCCATAAAAAAGTCACGAAATATCACAAGGGGGGAGGAGGGGTGAAGTAACATGACACGTGTATTTATTTTTTCGACAAACGCGCGATACTCAACCGAAAAGCGGTGTAAATAAGTGTATTTTTTCGTCAAACGTTCATTAAATAATAATATTCATAAAGTTTTTCGCATTCCTTTCAAGTCCTGTTATCTTTCTGTCTACCTCTAGACATTATTGTACATACTCTTTAATTGTCTATAATACAATTAGAAAATTAAGATTCATTGTAAGTACTAAAAATACACGTGATATATGGGGTGGGGAGGGGGGGGGTAGTCTTAAACCTCACCATGTATCACTATGGGGGAGGGGAGGTTTAAAAATGCCAAAAAAAACATCACGTGATTAATGGACAGCCCCTATCAAACTAAAGTCAACCCAATAACTCCACATAAGTATTCACCTAATAAGTTGTTTGATATACGGTGTAAGTACAAAGTTCTAGCGGTGGAACTGGATAAACTGTGTGTGGAAGTGCCACCCTTTTTGATTTTGAAATGACTTCTTGGACCATGTAGTCCCATAATTTATCAGTCCCTTAAGAAATAGGGATAAATAGCCAAGTTACGTAGTTTCGGAGATAAACAAGAGTCTTTGTGACGTTGCATAGTCAAATGTGTAACGCCTATCGAAAGGTGGTTTGGTATGAGTGTATGTTTTATCATTTTACCATCAGAAAAGTTTGCTTTTTGCCGATAGAATTCGGCAGGCGTTTGGCAAATAATATTTAGTCACCATAATTTGAGACTAGAACATTCAATTGGAATAGTCAGAGCGGTAAAATACTTTGTAGTTGTTGAGATCGTTCGAGTTATTTATTCCACTTCATGGTCCCTTAGAGTGGTGAACACTCGCAGGATGTCAAAAGATTGAATATTTCATGAATTCATGCTAAAAGGACTTAGTTGTAAAATAATGAGATTATAAACAGCTGTAGTGTAGAAGATAAAGGGTATGTTCCGATATACACTGCGACCACTGAACAGTATGACGTCAATTTAGTATACTGGAAGCCCGTTCCTTTATAGCTGTTATACTGGTGACTTTTTAAAACGGAACGCAGTCCAGTATACTGTTAATCCTATTTTTTGGCGCCATTTTCAAATTTGTTAATGCAAGGTGAATATAATATAAAGATTCCCTCTTTTCAAAAGAAAATATTATAATATTGTGTATAAAAAAAATATTTATCAATTAAATCCATCTTATAATAAACGTAAGTATTTTTTTTGTTTATTTAGAAACTTATCATTTTCTGATTCTGTTTCGACTGATCACGTGACTGCGATCAAAAGCACTGCGAGCACCTTACCTCGAAATCTCCAGTGCTCACAGTACAAATATGGCGGCAATTTATGACGTCATAAATTTCCCTAGGGTACTGTAGCAGTGTACTGGCAGTCCATAACGGAACGGATTTCTCAGCAGTAAGACCACTGCGCAGTGCTCGCAGTGTATATCGGAACATACCCAAAGCGTGACAGCGCAGTAGCGTACCAGATTGTTTCTTAATTATCTCAAGTTTTTACTTTAGGCAGACTAACAAATAAGGGATTAATAGATTCATTTTTGAATTCACAATTATAACTAGAGTTCCTGCTGTGGCACTGGAAGACTGACCGTTGATCCAGCAGCACCACAGGCTCGTTTATCTCCAAAACTACGTAACGTGGCCATTTGTTCCCATTTCGTAACGGGCTGGCTGATAAATAAGGGACTTGATGGATCAACGATTCATTTGAAATCGAAGAGAGTGGTGCTGCCATCCTGGCCCACATATACTAGCGATGAATACTCGCAGGACGTCAAGTTTCATAAGTTGAAATTTTAAGTAAATAAGCTTCTAGCGTTGTAGTTAAAAGATATACTATTGGCGCCACTGGTCTGAAGTCTGAGTATAGTACGTTCTACAGCCATTTTACGTTCCTACTACAGGGTATCAAGCCTTCTTTATGGATGGTACACTGGCCCAATAGGGATTGGATGGCAAATGCAGCTGGGACCAACGGCTACCTGGGAACGACGGTCACGTACCAATCCAAGCACAGAGTAGTTAGATTTTTTTTGTCGCCCATCTCGTGATCGGTCTTTGCGAAAGATGCTTAACAATAACGATCGCTTGCTGTGGCGCTTATCCACTATGCCACCGAGCCCGTACATTACACAGACTACGTTGTATAAGTGATAAATGAGAGACCTATATTATTAAATTAATTTATTGTTTAAACATAGGAACTTAAAATATAAAACATTAGAGTATAGAATTGTACTCAGTGTACATACAGTATTAAAATAAAGTAATACAAAAATCAAACGAAAACATTAAACTTTTCATATCGGCCATGCAAAAATCACCTCTATTATTATTGTCATTAGATATTTTAAGACATAACATATAAGTCTGAAATAAGAGTTCATAGTTTAATCGACAAATCATCAAAGGTTCATTTCATTTTATCTTCATAGGAATTATACAAAATGCCATACGGCATAGAAATTCTTTGTGTTGTGTTCAAACAAACAGTGAATCTATTCATGTTGTCAATTATAACAAGTATTTTAATCGGTATCCAAATATTTAACTAGCAGCCGGCTGATTGAATCAAAAATAAAATAGGTGGCTAGCTATTTAATTGAACGGGTCAATATCGATCAGCTGAGTGGCTGAAGTTGGAGCAGATTCAAAGTATTTGTTTTTTATGTACACAAATCATAAATGGGTTACACAAATATAAATAAATTGCTCATTAATGTTTCGTCATTGAAACATTTTTTATTAGGACACCATATAACTGATAGGTGGGTATAGTATTGCTTTCTTTTAAAGAATTTAAAGCAAACAAAATATCAATATATTTTAGGAAAGATTATTACATTAGTACATTATTTTAAAAAAAATCAAGAGATAATATGATTATTTGCAAACAAACGAAATAGGGGATATTGTGTAAGTTAAATAAATCTTAAACTCCATCATTAAGCTTCTATGATGCCTGGATAAAAAAAAAACTATTTAGTTTCTCCGTCAGATAATAGAAAAATATTAGATAAGAGAGTAATAGGCAGTACAGTTGAAGAGTGGGGCTCATTAAGTCACAACTGTATCATGAAAATCTACATAGGTGTGACGTCATATGACATTTCAACTAAATGTGTTGTGTTAATTTATTTTGTATGGAAAAAAAAACGTGTTCAATATTAATAACCGGCTTAAAAAAAGAAGGTTCTCAGTTTGACCTGTATGTATCTGTGTGAGATTATCTAGCGTTTGGCTGAACCGGTTTTGATGCGGTTTTCAGCAAAGTATTTGTCAGACTTAGGAGAAGGTTTTTGGTATATTAACAAACTAAAAAAATGGAGGTTCACACTTTAACACGGTTTTCATAAAAACATTTTTGTCATTTTTTTTAGTTATATAAAAAATATCAATATCAATCAATAAGCATGAAATAAAAACTAAAAAAAAAACAGAACAGACTTAAAGAAGTTAGACTTTTGCACAACAGGGCAATGACTTTAAATAACGCTTTTACCTTATAATATCAAACAAATGACAAACCCACCAACGTGATTTGTTTGAGCTAAAACTAACTATAACAAAATAAATCTAAGTAGAAAATCAGTGCTTTGTCTTTGAGCATTTTCTAAATAAAATTAGTAGTGACCTTAAACCTAAGCATAATTTGTAAGATATATCTATCCATATCTTATATAAGATAAAAATGAGTGAAAAAAGATTTGGATATATAAAAATTAAACACTAACAAAGTATAGTGTATACTGAAAGTAAGAAAGTATGTCAATAATTATTTCCACAAATATAAAACAAGTAAAAGTAGAATCATAAAAGTTTATAAAAAAAAGGGTTATAAAAATGCTTACAGCTGTCAAAAATATAGTAGCAAAGTCAAGAATAATATAATGATAGACATGATTTAAAGCACACTGGTTCATAGATAGTTTAAAAAATACAGTACTTATGAAATGCAATTTTCATGCTTCGTCATATTTATTATGTAATTCTGATATCTATTGTCAACAACATTAGGTCCATAATTCTTCTTCACTACATAATCATCATCTTTTTAAAATATGTTTGTTCAGTTAAAATTCAAAATATTTGGAATGTAGAAATAGCATAAGTTTTTTATTTGACTTCATGCTAATTATTTCTACCTTATCATAAACTTCTATAATGAAATTGTATTTTGTAATGAGATTTTTGGTAATTGAGATCATTTACTACAAACATATATAATAAAAGTACAGTTCTATTAAATATTTAAGAGATCATCAATTTGCACTTTGGTAACTAATCTTACAAGATAATGAATGAACACATAAGAAATGTTTAATAAAAACATTGAATTAGCAATGAGAACTTGAATCTCATTTCTCGTATAATAATAAATGTATACATATTACATTTTGCTAATATGTATTTTTTAAATTATTTTACTAGGCTATTATAACAATGAGCCTACTAATGAGCCTAGGCTATGATAATAACAACCTATTTAATCATATAAATTTTAAGTGCTGTATTATCAAAAGATTCATTAATGAATTTTAATCCAGTAAAGAAATCAGTTAGCTGCAAATTATTTGCCGTAAAATAAAATTAATACATTAAAAATATAAAAAAAAATGCTTATTCCTAATTATCTCAGAGATAAGTCAATAAAATAATATTTAGTCATTAAAAGTAAATTCTCCAAAATATTCTTATTCCTTATTAGTGAGACGTATGTCAATAAAATATATTTAAATTTATATTCAATTCTCATTAAGCATATTCATAATTAGTGAGTTATTAGAATTGAATTCAAAAATATTCTTATTCCCTTTTTCCTTATTAGTCAGAAATTAGTCAATAGCATATTTTAAAATTAAAACAATAAGGCACATAATTGCACATTGGTTCCCATTTGTTTAATTTAGTACCTTTTCCTTCCATTACTCTTGACTCTCGTGTTTTTCAGTGTGATGGTTGTAGATTGTAATGGACGCCCATTATTGCTGCTTCTCAGGACTGGGCAGTAAGTGCTGAAAATTTAATACAAACAATACAAACTTTAGCATGTATGTTGCACGGCAGATTACCAAAATATGTCAAAATTCTATTTGGCATTGAATTCTATCCTCAACCTATTAAGGTTTAAATAAAAGTGGAGAAATTTAACAACCGATTTTCTGTAAATTGTACCAAGAATTGAATTCTTTTGTGAAAGAAGATTGATTTCTATAATATCTAGCTATAACAGAATGGTTTGATAATTAACCTTGGACTAAAAAACTTGATTTTTGGAATCCTGAAAAACTATTTTTTTTTGTTTTTTCAGCATTTCAAAATTCTCTATTGAAATTTAATACAATACAATAGGTACAAGAACCACACAGAAATCTTATTTTCTGTGTTGCATCTAAAATTGAATCTAAGTCACAAATTGATCATAAATACTTACATGGTATGAGCATCATCTCCAGAAGCCCCACATGTTGCACACACATGAGACCTCAAAATGGGGCAAGTGACAACATTTTTGTTACCAATCATCTCTTTGACCGTGTGCGTCATGAACACGAGTGGAGTCTCCCCATTTTTGCGACAAAATGTGCAAATTTTTCCTGGATTTATATCCTGGTTTATTCTTGAAGGGCTTGGAACAATGTTGGTATTAATATTCCTTCTATACGGAGAAGGGGGACTTGCAAATGGTGCAGTCATACTTGAAGTTGGTGACATACTAATAGTAGAGTTTGGAGAAACAGGACTACCATACATAAAAGATGTTCTGGGTGAAGATTTCATAGGTGTTTTGAATTCAAATCCTTTGTTATCAGTTGGAAATAGCTCATAGAACACATTTTGAGTGCAATTGTGTTGATCAAGAAATACTTTACGGTTTGTTGTGGTATTAGATATGTTTTGGTACTCTGACCACCCTGGCATTTCATAGTTTCTTTCAACTGGGGATAGTTGTACAGGGCTATCAAAAGTTGGATTCACATAATCAGTGTTCCCTAAAATCTTTCTACCTACAATAGGTCTTTGACGTTTTGCTGAAAATGGAGTTTCAGACATAGCATGTTTAACTGAATAAGATCTATTTTCCGTCAATCTGTTTTTTGGTGGTGTAGGTGGCATGTGTGGGAAGACTTCTGGCGATATAGAGTCAGCAGAACTGGAAGAATGATTGGCTATCAGAGAGCTGTTATATGGAGACTGCATGAATGTGTTGTATGCTGTAGGTTGTGTATCTGGACGAAATTCCATCTCTGGAAGCATAAACATGTAACTTTAACATTTGCTGTATGTTGTAATTTCATAAAGGATTCCATGAATATGGAAAATTCAGGTAAAAGTTAACATTGAGTTATCCAAAGACTTATCGAAATCTCGTATAGAAATATTTGGAGTTATCTCTTAAAATCCTAAGTCTCTAAATAGTCAAACTAACATTGTAGGCTCCAATAAAATTCATGGAATTATATATCGACGAAAGTCATAACTTTTGCGTAATAAAAGTCTCAACTCACCATTTTCTGAAGATCTTGGGAATAATCTATTTATTTCGGTCATGTAATCGAACATATTTTTTGATGGGAACATTTTTTTGATCTGTAAAATCAAAAAGATTTCATTGTTTAAATATTGTAAATAATAAGGTTGTTATTTTGAGGTTATTTCTTATTGCATTGTGCAGTTTTATTCTTTACTTTACAGGAAATAGAGTGCATAAAAAAATCATACCAAAAACTTTCGACATTAAATTAGGTACCTAACTAAAAAAACGCAGAAAACCAGTTTGCATAAATTACTAATACCATTTATGTTATTTTTAAAACAAATTTTAGATGAATTATTAATCACATTTTATTTTTAATTTCTTATTATCAATATTGCGGGAATTTCAAAATTATTATCAATTATTTGCTAAGAGTCAGCTAGCCATATAAACATATATAATACATGGTATAATTAAAACAAACAAATATTTAAGACAACAGTACCAATTCAGTATTTTCTTAACATTATCAATCATTTCATGAAAAGTGCATAAATTACGTACTTACTGTATTAAAAGGATGTGTTAGTATGCGAATAATAAGTCCAAACTTATAAGAATCGTATTAGTTTTAAAACTTTGTTCTATGACTCAAATCCCTACCAAACGCTATCCGACTCCTTGAACGATTCACCAAAAACTGAATTTATTTTGACGATTTTCTAGAGATCAAAGGATGTCGCCGCGCGATGCATCGCTATCATAGATTATAAAATAACAATTCAAAGTATCGTAGGTAAAATCTTGTATTTTTTTACTTATACTTTGTGTCTCTACTGTATTAAAGTATTAAACACAATAGAACCTCCAGCTTGATGTTTCTTAAGTTGCATATTATGTTTTGTGATCATTATTAGGATTACTTACATATACCTATAGTTTATATTTATTTAATTCCAATCGTAAACATATCAAATATCACTGATAAAAGTACTAATATAAAAAAGGATACAATTAACATTAGACCACAAATAAATATATCTCTATTGTTGGTGTATACACGATATGTGATTCCCAAGATAAGCCAAAATAGATACCTAAGATGCCTCAACAGTGTTATTTAATAAATAAGGTTTAACGTCGGAGTAATTTACGCTAAGTGTGAATTTAGTATTAGTGAAAATCAAAATTCGTATACACAGCGAAGTAAAGTACACTGAGCTAATACGAGAGTAATATGGGACGCCCGCTTAGATATACCTGTAATGTAATTTAGCTTAGTCACTATTAAATAACATGAATTTTGACTAATACTAATCTTAGCATTTACAATTGACATTAAACGTGTTTTACAAGATGTAGAGTTTTAAGTCTTACGACTCAGACGAAGGATTTTTGCAAGTTCCAAAAATGGAAGCTAAGTTCCATTCTAACTAATAATTCATGTACCTGGGCTAATAAATGTTGTAACTATCTACTTTGGTGCTAATCGTTTCTTCACCGATACAAGTATCAATCAAAACAACGATATTTAAAAAGATCATCTTCACCTCGATAATTAATCTGTGATTCTTTTACCTCGAATGTCAAAGAAGCCGCCCGCCCTTGTGTGGGTCTTTTGTGAAAACCGACATGGCACGTGTATGGAAATGTTTCTATTCGGCAACAGGTGGCACTAGTAATTCACTTATCGTTTTAATAAGTAAACGATTAGGTAGGCCTATTAGTTTATATACGCGTGTATTGATTTTATTGCTTAAGTGCACTGACTGACCTTTTTTTAATTTAATGCAATGTAAATAAATATTTGTATTACTGCAAAACGTAATTTCAAAATATTTCCAAAATGTAGTAGGTTCTTACCGCTAGATGTCATTATAGTATATCCACCAATAATAAAGCCGCACATTTATATTTGATATTTTGATTTGAATTTGATAAAATAACATATTTTTTTCATTAACTAGATGATAATTCCAAACATGTCTCTGTCTTATGCAGATGTAACCTTCAGAAAACTAAAAATAAATATAAATGTACCGCAATACACTTAGACCAAAGTCTGTTATTGTAATTTACGATATTAGTGCGTTATGGTGGTTATAACATGCGAGGCGGAATTTCAGCCCGAGCCGAAGGCGAGGGCGTAATTGAGCCGAGCATGTTATATATAACCAATACGCACGTATATCGTACGACGTTTTTTAACACATTTGCGAGGAAACAGAAAAAAAAACATTAAATAAACTCAATCTGTGAATACATACACTGTTGCTTTCCCACCATTTTAACAGCGCGCTAGCGCTGCCTACTGACTGGCGCCGCGCGGCGATTAGTTCGAAATTTGAATAGCAACAGCGCGCGAAATAGCAAATAATACTGTTATGGAATTTGTATGGACTTATAACTTAACTATTAGCTTTGGTAACACACGCGTTTTTTATGACCCGCTTTACATATTTAAATCCGGTGGAATTACATCAGCTTTACGAGTAAAGGTGATAAAAAGTATATTTTATATCGATCAGGTTGAGAATTGAACCCGGGACCTCAGAGACGAGAACACGAAACCTTAACCTTTAAATTGTTTATGTCCGTTTCATGTGACGTGTTATAAAAACGCACACAAATATGATTAGAATTAACGCGCGCAACTACCACTTGATACTTCGCGTATTATAGGCTATCCTTGTTGCACTCATGCATAATAATCTCTCTTTCGCTCGGTGGGTGTGCTGCAGCGATCATTTGAAATTTTGCAACGGCCGAGTAATTTTGCACTGATCGAAAAAAATTATATTATGTAAGTATGTCTTTGTTTAATATGCTTTTTATGTTTAATTTGGTTAGAATAATAATATATCAATAATCTATAATAGTTTTTGTTACATTAGTATTTGTATTTCTCTTTCAATATCAATATAAATCTTAATGTCACTTATAACGGACATTGCCATTTAGTCTCACAAGGAGTAACTTTAATGTTTGTCTCTTGTAACGGACATCGCCACTTTTCCTCGAAAATAGTAACTTTTATATCTGTCTCTTATAACGGACAATGCCAGTTGGTTATTAGTAAAATTTAAGTTACCTGTTTTCATTATATCATGGTATAATAATTATAACGAGATAAAATGCGTATAGTAAGAGTTTTAGTAATGGCTATATTCATTTCAGTAATATGGTGAGGAGGGGTTGGCGGTCTAGACATATTCTTGCATTAATACCTCCTCCTGATTCTGAAGATTCAGAGGTTGAATCTGACGATGATGAAGAGGGAAGAATACTAGCGCGTGAGTACTTCAAGAATAACTACAATGGCTCTCACACTTCTTCGCCAGTAAGAAGTATTTCGCCTGCTATATATGATCTTATGCGGGATCTCAGTGACGGTGAAGAATCAGATGACCACGTTAACCAAAATGTACCAATGCCTATAACATCAGCATCATCCTCATTTGTATCTACATCTCAAGTTTTATCACCTTGTATTGTACCGGAAACACCATCTACAACTTCTGTAAGATCTCCACTTACACCAAGTACAGTCACAACACGTCGCCGTACCAAACAATTCGCTAATATTGAGTCGTCCCCTATGCCACTTCTACCTACAGAACCTGCTGCAAAAAAGCGCAAACTATTACAATTAGAATTTACGTTTAAGAAAACTAAATATACAGGAGCCGTGGAAGTGGATACAAGTGTTAGTTTTGCAGAACAGTTTCAATTACAGTCTCCGCTGCAATATTTCAAAACTTTTTTTAGTGACGATTTGTTAGATTACATTGTAGATATGACAAATCTGTATTCAGTACAACAACAAGGTAAATCTATCAGCGTAACAAGAAAGGAAATAGAAATAGTATTAGGTATCAATATAATTATGGGAATTGTAAAGATGCCAGCAATTGAAGATTACTGGAGTAATGATCTTAGATTTGAGCCAATTGCGTCTTCTATGGGGATAAAACGTTACAGATCTATTAAACGTTTTTTACATTTTTGTGATAATATTAATGTAGACAAGAATGACAGCTATTACAAGGTATCTGCTGTGATGGAACATATCCGGCAGCGGTGCCTCAAAGTGGAAGAAGAGAGATCATTTGCTGTTGATGAAATGATTATACCGTACAAAGGCAGAAAAGCTGGCAATCGTAAGCAATATAATCCTAAAAAACCCCATAAATGGGGTTTTAAATTCTTGGTTCGAGCTGGCACTTCAGGGATGGTGTATGATTTCTTTGCCTATGATGGGGCAAATACTTTTCAACAATTTGATTTTACAGAATGGGAACAAAATTATCTCGGTGTTGGGGGCAAAACAGTTGTCAGACTATGCAAAACTATATCCAACCCGATTCTTTCCACGGTTTACTTCGACAACTGGTTTACTTCTTTGGAGTTACTTTATTATTTACGTAACGAGATGGGATTACTATCTTTGGGCACAATCCGGAAGGACAGACTGCGCAATTGTCGCCTAAGTAGTGACAAAGATATGAAAAAGAAAGGTCGTGGGACATTTGAGGTTGTATGTGATAATGCGAAGAGATTGGCTGTTACGAAGTGGGTAGATTCACAATGTATCCACATTGCCAGTTCTTTCTGTGCCCAAGATCCGATCGGAACAATAGAAAGATACGACAAAAAAGAGAGAAATAGAACTTCTGTACCATGTCCACATGTAATCAAAATATATAATACGCACATGGGCGGTGTTGACATTGCTGATATGTTGACTGCACTGTACAGAATACGTATGAAGACAAGGCGATGGTATATGGCAATATTTGCTCAGGTAATGAATAATAGCTGGCTTTTGCACCGTCGTGATTGTGTACAACTTGAAAATGATAAGAAATTGTCACTGAAAAAATTTCGTATCCAGGCTGCTCTTGCACTCATCAAAATCAATACCAAATCTAGTTTTCAAAAAGGTAGCCTGGATCCTGGATCTGATACCATCACCAAGCCTTTCATACCCCGTCCCGTTAACGAATCACGTCTTGATTGTTACGATCATTTTCCCCTCTATACATCTCAGGGGCGATGCCGTTTTTGTAAAAATGGAAAGACGATGGTGATGTGTTCAAAGTGT